GATTTTGATTTAATTCACACAGTTAGAGGTGATAGATTAATAACTACCACAAATTGTCATTTTCTAAGAGGTACTTGATGCTATTGTGTTGCTGATTGTATCACTTGGGCTAAGGTGTTGTGATTGATCTAATCAGCTGTCCTTCCTGGTATAATGAAAATGAGATAGCCTCAGAGCTATTAGAGACTCAAAATATAAAGACCAGCTATACCTGGAAGACACCTCTGAGAAACAATCATTCCATAAGGGTTCTAAATACATCAACAAAGATACTTACAAGAATCATACCACAGCAATATATGTGCACCCACGTTTATAGTGGCACAGTTTGTAATAGCTAAAGCTTGGAAACATCCCAGGTGCCCATCAACTGGTGACTGGATAAAGAAGATGTGGGGTTTTTTTATAAAATGGAGTACTACTCAGCCATGAAGAATGAGAAACTAGAGACATTTATAGCTAAATGGATGCATATTGAGGCCATACTCTTAAGTGAAATAAATAAGACACACGTGTAAATACCGAATAGTTTCTCTAGTGTGAGAAACTGAAAGTGTAAATAAGGATTAAAATGATTAAAACAAATAATGGATAATTTGAAATAGGAAGAAAAGGTTCAAAGGGGTAGGGGTGGCAGGAGGGGAAGGGGAGAGATCAGAGTTACAGGCTGGAATCTGAAAAGAATCCATATATAGATTGTGTTTAAAACTATAGGAAGAGATGTAGATAGAGACTAGGCTGGAGCTCATCAATGGGTTGGGAAGGAAGAGTCACTGAGATCAAAGGAAAGAATGGTGTGTTTCCAGAAGAAACACATACAACTATGTACAGTACACAGTACTCGATAGTGTGATAAATGACTGTTACTATTTTAGGTACTTATCATAACACGCTATGCTTTCCATCCTTTAGAGCATAATCCTACTTATATAAAAGAGTTTACTGTAAAACAGTGTGCTGCTATGCCAGTGGTAGCCTCATGTATCCCGGGTTTAACTGGGTATTTGGATAATATCAAGGGGCCATCACAGATGACTTTTGTATACCTTCTCAGTTTGCACTTAGAAGTTGGCACTCTGTGTGGTACTTTGCAATACGCACGGATGAAATTGCCTAATAACATATTTCTCAGACTATATTTCCATCACGTGTCACATGACTGTATTGAAATTTAAATTTTTTAAAAAATGGCCTATGTGGAGTCTATTAGCTAATTAGAATTTTTTTCCAGACCACTATTTGTTCAATATTAGTTTTGAAAATCTTTCTAAAATAAATCACATCCTCTGATGTCTTGTTAATGCTTGAGATTTTTTTTAAATTATATGGAAAAATGTTTATGTACTTTTCATTTTGCTTTGGTTGAGTTCTACTATATTTGAATATTATTATAGGGTTTTTTTTCCCCTTGCATTGTTTTTCTTTGAATAATTTTAATTTTTGTATATGTGTGGGTTTGATAATAAAGTTATACTTTTTAAATAAAAAATACATAAATACATGCAAACATACATACACACTTACACACATGCTTACACACATACTTACACCCACACACTTGCACATATATACATACGCTTACATGCATACTTACACACACTTATACATACACACGTGCATACTTACATATGCACACACATGCACACCCACACACATACACACTTATACACATTACATACATGCACACTTACACACATGCTTTCACACACACATGCTTACATGCATACTTGCACAATGCACTTACACGCATGTTCGCACACATGCATACACACTTACATGCATACTTGCATACATACACACTTGCACACATGCTTACACACATGCACACGGTGCTTACACACATACTTACATGCATGCACACTTGCACACATGCTTACATGCATACTTACATACATACTTACATGGATACTTACATACACACTTACATACACGTTTACATGCATAATTACATACAAACACATATACACTCTTACATGCATACTTACATACATACACACTTACATGAAGAGCTGGGGGTGCAGCTGAATGGGGGATGCTGGGTTCAGTCCCCAGTACAGAAAAAAATTTTTCAAAGAGAAGCCTAATTTTGCTGGACAGTTTCCTCACCAAATGTTAATACCCAAATATTTTATACGGTGAAACTAAGCTAAAAACAACGATGAAGACGGGAGCGGATAAAGCAAACGTGGGTGACAGTCAAGCCGAAGTCCCACTTCAGGAGCCTGTCCTGTGGGACGGAGACAGTGCCACACAGAAAGGAAAGGCGCTGCTCAGGGGACCAGGGCAAACCTGCCCCAACACCAATGCTGGCTCACACAGCCACGCAGCTTCGCAGAGGGTCCTGCTGCAGACGCGTCCGGAGAGACACTGAGTGCGATTCGAGCTTCACAGCATGCCAATCTAATGAAGCTCTGTGAAGCCCCAAATCCCATGAGTCCCAATAAGCTCACACACCACCCCTCTGCCTCTACATGAACTTCGGACTCACAGTCACCCCCCACGTGACAGGTCTCCCTTCTACTCCTCGGCCAGCTACCTGAGGTAAGAGGAACAGTGTTTGACTCTCCTCTACTTTGACCAGCATGGACTCCTAAACAAGCTCCTTAGTTTACCTGGGCTTCCTCTATAAGACAATCCAATCAGACGACTTCTAGGGTTCGGTACAAATTTCAAATAAGACCTACTTGATCTATCTGGCAAAATTATTAGGACAGCAAAAAGGGAAGTATGTAAATGAACTTGAGTCATCATAACAAACACTGTTTAAAAGCAGCCTCAAAATAATGCAGCCAGACTGTTTAAGAGACCGGCCAATCTGCACTTTCCAACCAGGGGCCTTTACTTGGGCCAAAGAAGGCACCAGACACAAAGAGGGCAGACGGCCCGGCTGTCAGGGAGGGGACAGCCGGAGGTGGCAGCAGAGGGTCCAGGCAGGCAGCAGGCTGGGGTGGGGCAAAGACGAGAAGCACTCAGGGACAGGGTCAGAGGGGACAGTCATCAAGCCTGCTCATGCTCTGATCTGTAATCTTCCCTGGTCAGACAAACTCTCAAATTTGCAAGTGGTGTGCTCCTAAAACATGAATGTGAGTGTGTAAGTGTGTGTGTTTAACCTAACTTTTTAGAGGGAGACACTTTCAGTTCTGAGTCTTTACAATATAAAAATTCTGGTTGTTTTCCAGAATGATGTCTACTGAGTGTTAAATAAATTAGTACAAAGGCACATTTCTTAGTAGACACACTACTAGAATTTGGGGTGGGGCCATTCTTTGTCATTGAGACCGTCCTGTCATGCAGGATGTTTGGAATCCCTGTGCCCAGCCACTATCACCAGGGCCTCCTTTCAAACACGGTGGAGATGAGAGCAGCCCTCACTGCAGACCGTGGAGGAGACTGGCCACCACCCTGGAGGTCACAGCACCAGAAGAAGCACATCTGGGGAGTGCCCCACCTGCTCCACACTCACTCATCCAACAGGACCAAGCCACAGACTGCTTTTACTCTAGGATACACTGACTTATTAAAGGGAATTTGCAATTGTTAACACAAAATTCCTAAAGTAGCTTTTATCTGTTTCACGGAGTTATCAGCATTGAAGCAGCGATGAAGAGAGAGATCATGAGTAGTGGTCGTAACTTCTGTAAGAAAGTACCTATCTTTATTGACTACCACTTAAAGACCAGAACTGGCTCCAACAAACACCACGGCAACGAGGCGTGACCGTGAGAAAGAGGTTCCTCAGGGCACACGCAGTGCCGTGCCTCCCACCCAGCCCCAGGTCTCCAGCACCGAGAATCCTCACAGACTTATGAACAAAGCTCCCCCCCCCCGAACTCGCTCCTGCCATTCCCAGTTCACGCTGTCCCCATCACACCAAAGGGTCTTCCAGGAGATTCCTCCTTCCTAATGCTAAGCTTTTCTCCAAAGCTGAACAATAAGGAAATGTTTTCCCTTGCTCTTCTACCTGCTTCAGATGACGTATGATCAATCCATCTCTTGCTATACTTTTTCTTTTTTTGGCACTGGGGATTGAACTCAGGACCTTGCACTTGCAAGGCAGGCAGCAGGCTTGCTATACTTTTTTTTTTTTTTTTTTTTAAACACTGCTTAAAATACACATCACCTATGAGTAACAGCCCTCAGTTTCCCAAAGGAACAAACGAAGGGTGATCCACGTGCAAAAGAACTGGAAGAGGATCCGGCCAAGGACTCAGAAACTGTGCAGCATCCACTAGGTCCTGCTGGGTCCTCACCAAAACGAACCCCACAGCATTTCCGGCCTGGAGAGGCAGGAGCTCTGCTCCTCACACCCCAAGCCTCACTCCACAGAGGGCCACGGGCTCGGCCTGCAGCTTCACTTAGAGGAGGATGAGCAGAGAGGAGGCTGTAAGGAGCCGCAGAGCCCGAGGTGGGCCTTCTAGCGTCCGTTACTCCTCTTCTGCACTGCTCCCCTGAGGACTCCTCCGAGCGCTGCTCGGAATCTAAACCAGTTAACTGTGCCCAGTCATGGGTGGCCTGAGTGTCTCTCACGCCCTGTAACTGTTTTTCAGCACCCAGCCTTCCTTCATCTCTTTTTCATGGGCTGTTTTCCGAAAGTGCAAATCCCCAGACACTGGTCAAAGGCCCCACCCAGAGCGGCAGACACTTCTGCCTCATGATCGAAAATGATGCGAGTGAACCAAAAGGCGATGTATCACAGAGCGAGCGAGGTTTGCTGTAAGGATCTACCAATCCGCCTGCAAACCGGATGAACAGCCCTGTGCCTTCAGCGTAACTCTTCAGCATCTCGCATGCACCCACTGCAGACGCCGTGCTACCTGCATCGGCGCCAGGATTCCAATCTACAGGGCTCCGCTCCCCGCCGCCCTTTCGCTGGGCAGAACAGGACAGGACCAGCGAGGACCAGACGACTGGACTCCTCCTCCCCAGGGCCCAGGGCCGCCCCTGCCGCCCGCAGCCCCCCCCCCCCCCCCGGCAAAGCCGCCCCGTTAACAGCTGCTCACTTGGCGGGAGGGCCTCGTCCACCCGCTGGTACCGGCTGACGTCCTGGCGCACTGACGGCAGGGACCGCAAGGGCTGGTGGCCGTTGGCTTGAGCGCCTAGGATTGAAGGTACCGTTACCCAGGGTCGGCTCCCTTCGGCTTCAGCGCAGCCTGGGGACCAGAACACCGAGCGTCCACCCGGAGGCTGGCTGCTCTGCTGCCTCGAGTCTCGTCTCCCATCTGAGGCCCAGAAACCGAGGAGAGCAGGCAGCAGCCGAGGGCTGGGGCGGCTTTGTGGACAGCGCGGCCCGGACTCCCGCCTCGCCTCCCCTGCCCGGGGTCGCAGAGCGGCCAGGATGATGAGGCCACAACAACAAAACAGGAGGGAGAAGCAACGAGGGGATAACCAAGGTCGGAAAAATAAATTACAGGCTAAGAAAGTCCTTTCTGCTTCTCCGTCTGAAGTGTATGAAGTGGCCCTTTACACGGACTGCATCCCTAGCAGGGCGTCTCGGGACTGTTGGGAAAGCACCCGGGAAGGGACACGGCCGGCAGACGCGGTCTGCATCTCCAGGTGCGGCACAGCACACCCCCCGGACAAACCCGAGCCCAGCGCTCCCACGCACGGCCCGGGCCTCTGCGGCTGCACCAGCGCCCCTGGTCCCCTGCACCTGGAGACCCCATCCTGCTCGGGCCGGGGTCATCTAGGGGCTGCAGGTCGCCGCGTGCCGGCCGGCCAGGCCTCCAGCTCCTCCAGGGAAGGCGGCCCTTCCGAAAAACGCCATCAGAGCCCAGGTCACCTGCAGGCGCGCCAGGCCTCCGCCCCCCTGCCCCGCCCGTCCCGACCGCACCTACCTCCTGCCGCGCCCTCCTCCTGCGCCGAGGCCCCTTCGCAGGCGCCAGCGTCTTCCCCGGGCTCGTCCCCGGCGTATTCCGCCCCGCGCGGGCTCTCCAGGCCGGGCCTTCGCTGCCAGACCGCGCCGCGCTCCTCGGACTCGGGCCCCGCGTCGTCCCGCGCGCCCGGCACCTGCACAGCCGGCAGCGCCCCCGGGGCGCACGCGGCGGGCTCGGCCGCGCCCCCGTCGTCGTCCTCCTGCGAGGAGAAGGCGGGCGTCCCGGGGAAGCGCGCGCTGCCGGGAGAGGAGCAGCGCGTGTGCGCCGAGGTCAGCTGCGTGGCAGCGCTCTCCGTGCAGGAACTATCGGCGCCCTCGGGGTCGCTCTCGCCCTCGAGCCGGGCGCTGGCCTCGCTCGCGCTTTCCGTCCTGGCCGGGTCGCTGGGCTCGGTCTCCGAGGACACCTGCGAGGGCTCGGAGCCCTGGTCCAGGGACTCGGCCTCGCTCGCGGCCCTGCGGCTGCCCGCCGACGTGTTGGGGGTGCCGGGGTCCGCGCCGCTCGCCGGCTGCTCGGCCTCCTCCGAGCCTCTGGGCTCAGGCTCAGGCTCAGGCTCCGCAACGGGCCCAGATTCCGGGCCGGCAGCCTCGCCCTCCTCCGGGGCTGGGTCCGGGGAGCCGTCCACCGGCCCTGGGAGAGCCTCGTCCCCGTCCCCGTGCCCGTCCCCGTGGCGCGCGGCCTCAGGGCGCTCCCCGGTGTCCAGCGGGCGGGCGGCCTCCAGCCCGGAGTAAGAGACTGGACTCGCCGCCCTGCCGAACATGATCAGGCCTCCGTCCTCCTCCAGGGACGACGGGCAGCCCCGGTCCTGCGGGAACTCGTGGTCCTCCTCGTCTGAGTCGATGTGCAGCATCGCGCTGAGCCTCGTGTCGGTGGGGAAGCTGCTCCTGAGCTTGGGCGATGCGCCCATGGGCCCGGGCCTTGAAGGGCCGCCGTGCTCCAGGGCATCCAAGTAGTCGTTGAGAGAATCTTGGCGGCCCCGGGGCGGGGAGGCCCTGGAAGAAGTGGCCGCCAGCTCCTCCGCCTCTATCTCCAGGGTGCAGCTAGTCCTGAGAGAGTGCTTGGGCGTCCCGTCGGCCGCACTGTCCTCGGACACCGGCCCGTTGGCACAGCCCGGGCTGTCCTGGTGGCTCCCGGGCACGTCCTCGTCATCCGACGGGCTTCCCAAGTCCCCGTTCACGGTGCTGACGCCCAAAATGGTGCCCACTGCTTCTGGAGATGCGTCTGCAGGAGAAAGCACCTTGGTCAATGGAATGGCGCTCGATCCATCTCCCCGCAAGTGACTCAGTGGTCGCTCTCTGTCCCAGAGTAGGGCTCCCCGTGTATAAACACATTTCCACGAGACCATCATGTTCAGGGACGCAAATTAGAGGCAGAAGGTTAAAAATTGCATGGTTTCTCCTTTGTGAGAAACCCAGAGTGTAGATAAATTAAACAGCAAAATAAAAGATGTATAAAATAGGACAGGGAGACAGAGCTTTTGCAAATGAGAAGGGGACTGAGATGGAGGGGTGAAGAGAGAAGCGGAAGGGGACATAAAAAGGCTTAAGATGTGTTACGTACATGGCCCACTGTGCATGGTACATACAATCATTGTGTACTGCGAATGTGCACAAATAAAAAAATTAAAATTAAAAAACAACTATTGAGTGAACATCTCATGACCAACTGCCAGGCAGCCGGTCAGTTCGGAGTGCAGCCTCCCGGGAAGGCCCTGCTGGGCTACTAGCCTGCTCTGCACCACCACCCTACCTAGCAGGTGTGCGGCCAGTTGGGTCGGCACAGTAGGTGTAAATGTCTGCCATCGCTAGAACTGCCCCATGAGAGGTTTTCACCGAGAGGCTCACCCATCTGTCTCAGAAACTGCTGCAGGTGATCATGTGAAAACTCTTTTATGTTTAGGACGGGACACACGTTCAACTCTATTCCAACGCATGTTACACGGGCACTCACCTTCGTGCATGGAGGACGTGACTTCTACCTTAAACTGCAGGTACCCGCTCACGTGGTCGGCCGGGAGCCTCCTGCCCAGGCTGTAGCTGAGCATCTGATCTCTGCCGGAGAGACATGGTTCTGTCACCCTCCCCACATACTGCCCGCCCGAGACGCCTCCCCATGGCCACCCACAGCCTGCCCCATTTGTTCCTGTGAGACTTGCAGGCTTGGAAGTAAAGAAAATACAGGCCCAAGGCACATGGTGTGCCATTATTAAGCACTCATTTGCACAAGTGAATAGGTGGAGTGCTGGGGCTAACAGGAACCCTGCTGCAGGAGTGGCCGCAGCAGAGGGCAGCCCAGCCAGGTGTGCTTGGCACCTGGTCTCCCTCCCTCCCCTGCATGGGGGGTGCACCTCGGCCCCCACTGGGGAGCCTGCCTCACTGCTTGCAATGCTGAGGGGCCACTGGAGAAGCCATTTGGAGGGCCGGGTCCCACACCTGGCCCTGGAAGGGACACAACTAAATGGGCAGGTCTCTGTCCTCCCTGGCACCAGGCTTGGGCAGCCAGGTTCCTCAAGGACAAGCCTGTCCAGCGTGTCGGGTCCATGTTTGTTTATCAGAGTCAAATGCAATTACTTCATCCGCCTGAATGCAAGCAATTCATATTCTGAACCAAATGGGTTTCTCTTAAGGGAAACAATCAAAGCCACAGTCTCAGGCCACAGGGTCTCTGTGCTCACACTGCCCTCTAACGGCCGGCCCGGACAGCACCAGCCTCCACCCAGCTGCACCAGGGTCAGGTAGGTAGTCATCTGCAAGTTGCTTTGTTCTCATCTCCTCAGCACAACCCCAAGTACTGTAATCTGCTACTCAGGTCAAATCCAACTCGGCTCTTACACACTTCTGACTCGATGCAAAAATGTCTTAGTTCTCTCTCTCCCAGAGGCAGTGTGGTGGTGATTTTTCTTCAGCGACGCTTTTTAAATGTTTTTGCTCCCCAGGCAGCTGCTGACCACCGGCACACACGCTCTGCTGAGGGCTCTGCATCACCATCTCCTCTACCCTCCTGGCAGCCCTGTTTCCTACAGGAGGAAACTAAGGCGCAGCCAGGCAGCTCTGCGGGGACAGACCTGGGATTAAACACAGACTAGTCTGACGAAGCCCCAGCTCCATCTGCAGACGCCGCCCACAGGCTCCCTGGAGCGGCATCTTGGTGACATCTTGACTGTGAGTCACCTTAATGTGATCGCTATCAAGCCTTTTCTATTTAAACTGGTGCTTTAGAAAAATCCTCTGTAAAGGGACACACAGGCAACTGTAACTCCTAGACCTCAGGGGCTGCCAAAAGCCTCTGCCTGAGACTGTTCTGACAGCACAGGTCAAAATCAGGGGCATCCTTGATTCGTCCTCACTGTTCTCCCAGCCCTCGGTGCCCGACACACAGCTGTGCTCAGCACGGGTCCGGATCTGCCCCCAACCTTTTTGTTCCTCATCCATCTCTGAATACTCATCAGTACTTTAACACTTCAGTAATAAACTCATCATTTTCTGGATCAAAACAAATTAACTCTCCTCCCCTCTTCTCTGGGCAACAAAAGTGTTGGGAATAATCATGAAGATCTATAAAAGCAATGGGTTTTAGCAACAAGTTAAGTATTTCCTAAGAACTGTTAGAAAAGGGTTACCAGAGATAGCCAGCTGTTTGGTCACTTTCATCTCAAAACCCAGTACAGTGCTAGACTTTAGTAGAATATTTAGGAGGATATGGATCAGAGTCCAGAAGAAAACTGTATATACACTTCAGCAGTTTGCCGTACTAGTAAATGCCTGGAAGCTCATGGCCACCACTTTGACCACCCTTTGTAATTGTGGAGGCCAAAGGTAACTTGTATTAATCTCATTATGTCTCAATAAATTTAGTAATAAAATATTTATACAAGTTTTTCTTTTTCTGATGTGTACTTTTTTGACAAAATATATATACACACATACATATCATATGGGGGGGGGCCTCTGTATCAATCAGCTCTCCCGTCACTGTGACAAAATATGTGATACCCACAACTTAAAGCAGGAGAGGTTTAACTTGGCTCACATTTCCAGGGCATTCAGAAAAATATAAAAGGGTAAACAACTCTGAAACGTTTTGCTTTGAGAACAGACCCCAGCTCAGCAGATTGAGGGCTACCTAGGGAGTGCTTCACTGACCTCAGCCATCCAGCCACTTAGAGGCTACTACAGCCATGATACAAGGGGCCCTGGCTACTCATTGAGCCAGCAGTGGACCTTGGCATCATCCCTATGGTGCTGGTTTTTCAGGCATGAAGAATGCAAGAGTTGTGGGGCCAGGGAGGCTCCCACCCAGGTTTCAAAGGAAGGCCTGAGAGGACAGGCAGTGTGCACTGAGAGGGCAGCATGTGGAGCTGTGGGAATGAAGCCAAAGGTCCAGTGGAGGCCACAGGAAGTTGGAGATGCCAGGAAAGCAGATCGTCTGCTGAGTGAAGTCACAGCAGTGAGTGGAGCCAGCCTAGGAGAGCCAGTGAGAGCTGCAAGACAACACCATAGGGGCAGGGTTGGCCGAGCCCTTTGGAGCTCACCTCTTACCACACCTGCCCCAGATGCTGGACATGCAGTACAGGATTTAATGTTGCCCTGCTGGGTTTCAGTCTTGCTTTGGTCCCATTCTCTCCATTCCCCTATTTCTCCCTTCTGGAACACATGTGTTTACCCTGTGTCATTATTATATGTTGGAAGTATTTATCTTTGTTTTTGATTTTTATAGGGGCTCACAGCTAACAGTTTGGACTGGAACTTTTCAGCAATGCTAGAAACATTAAGACTTTGTTAACTCTTGGAAATGGACTAAATGCATTTTACACAATGAGATATACATGAGCCTTTGGGGGTTGGGGCAGAATGTTATGGTTTAGATCTTAATCCCCAAAAAGTCTTATCCACATGAGACATGACTGGATCGGGGCACGGGCACTATACTGATCAGTGATTCTTCCATGGATGAGTTCATAGCCAAATGTGTGGTTAAGAGGTAGGGCCTGGTTGAAGCTGGGTCACTGGGCTATAACCTTGTCCCCAGCTCCTCCCTTCTCTCTCTGGCTGCTATGGGATGAGCAGCTGTCTTCTTCCAGGCTCTTCCACCACGCCATTTCTGCCATGGAGACAACTGACCATGGACTGAACCCACTGGAAAATAAGCCAAATAAACTTCTTTAAATTGCAGGTGTTGGGTATTTTGTCCCAGAGATAGGAAAGTGACTAATGCAGATTCTACCTGGAAAAAGAATTTTAACTGACAAGAGACTTAGTACAACTACTCCACCTGTAAGAAAAGGAAGCCCTCCCTCTTCTCCATCGAGAGTTAAGAGTTTTTCTTCTTCACTGAATGCCTGCCAGTGGATCCTTGCCAGGTCCTATCTACCCACCCTGCCTCCTGCAGGGAGGTATCATTATGAAGAATATACCACATATTATATGACACATTATAATGAAAAATAAGCACCAAAAGATTCCACTAGTCGACTAAGACATTCTCTTGCAAATGTAATCAGAAAGACTTTAACAAAGCACAGGACGTGGTGTATCTTTCTGAAGGGAGGCAGGCTTGCTCTGTGTAATGTCACATAAACAAATGCTCTCAACACAGGCTCTGGGTCAGGAGTCCTAGTTTGTCCCAGAAACCCACACCCTGTAACACTTCAACAACTTCAGAGTTGCAGTCTGCCAAATGCAACACTAATCAGAGTGCAGCAGTCTTTGAGATGTATCGAGTATTTGATGGAACTGTCCAGAAACACATTTATATGTTAGCAGCTGATATGAAATATGGAGGATCATTGCAATGCTTATATCTCATGCTCCTGATATTTTACAAATCCAAGTTGGACTTCCTTCCAGCACACATGGAATCCAGGACTGGACCTTCTCAGGATGAGAAAAGTGTACAGGCTGTCTCAGTGGCACCCCACAGTGCTGTGGAACTGAGCTTGCTGGTACTCACTGTGTAAAAATATAGGCAACACAGTAAGGGCCAGAGGTGTGTTATGCTCTCTTAATGACTTTACCACAACTTACGAAGAACTCACAGGAAGAAAACAGACACCAGTTGCAGTTTAAGATCCTGTCAATGTCTGAACAAATGCAGATATCCAAGAGCTCACTGCAATATCTCTTATCTGGGTCTCAGTGTAAATGGCTCCCAAATCAGGCTATTTCTGTTTTTCAAGAATAGCACTCTGGGTGCAATTAATCAGGATAAGGTAAATATCCATATTAAATTCTGTTCTAGGGACAGAGTTTCAGAGCAAGATTTCAATATACTCAAAAAACAATTGAGCACTATGAGATGAAATGCTAATGTATCTTGGAAAAGATAAAGATACCAAGAAAAAAAAGGATATAATTAGACAAAGGTACACAATTAGAACTTTTGGTCCAGTGTATTTAAGGCCTGTAAGGCACTTTTATTTTTAAAGAATGTTGTTACCACTTCTTATCAGCAGAATAAGCCCAAGACTACTGAGCCCATGTCGTGGTCCCCGGAAGAGGCAGGCAGTTACCCAATGGCCTGGCGCTCCAGCAGTCTCTGCACCGGAATGGTGAGCTTCCCCAGAAAGCGCTTGATGATGGGACGGCTCTTGGCAAATTTGTCTTTAATTTCAATTTCTAAGACATCAGTCAGGAGTGCAAAAAAGGAGTATTTCTGAAAACAAAAACAGGTTGTGTGTTGGCTCAGAAGAGAAATGAGTATGATACCACATCATCTGATGTTCTAGGAAACGATGTCTCTTAGATTCCAATGATGTAGAGCACACATTATTGGAAATGTCTGTAACCATCATCAAGCCTGCTTTCACTCAGAACCATTAATGTTCACCATGACCATAAAGCGACTGCTAGGAACCTGTGCAGCCAAAGCAGCCCGATCATTCCATCATGAAGCCCTTCTTGGTCTAGCCGAGTTAGGAGACATTGCCAAAAATCAAATCATACCCAACACAGTTTCAGTACTCACTACATTAGTTGTATCTTAATTTTTGATATCTGATCTCTTGTTATAGGATGATTTAGGATTAACTAGTATATCTGATTAATGACTATTTATATTCCTAACCTCATGGGATTTTAAAGTTGCAAAACACTGTCAAGGTATTCCTCTACTTAGGAAAGTAGGAACATCTACAGCATATTGTAATTTCCATGATAAATATTAAAATAAAACAATGTTTAAATAGAATTACTGATTAAGTTTAAAAGGCATATGAAGTCATTTCTTCTGAGACAAAAAAGTAAAAGTATGAGATTAAAATAGGCTTCATTCTTTGCATTCTTTGCACTAGAGAAAATGACTGGGTGTTAACAAAGAAAAAAACAAATATAAAAGAAGCTTTACTTATTTTATACTTACCAAGATAAGATTTTAAAGGTGAGGCTCTGGAGAAGAGCAAACAACAGAGCCAGGAACCTGACCTAAATCATTTTGCTGTGTCACTGAAGGCTCCCTGCTGCTATGGAGATGGCAATGGTGCCAGCTGGCCTGACAGACAGGTGCCACCAAGTTCTTTAGTCATAACCATTAAAGTTCTCCAAGGCCAGACTGTTTGGTAAGTTGCTGGCTTTGAGTACGAGAGCTGAATGTCTGCCCCTCTGAGCAGCCAGCCACAAGGACGTGTCAGCTACAGTTGCTGAAACAGGAAACAGAGAGGATCGCCTCATCTACTCTGCCTCCCTGACAGCCTGCACTGGGTACAAGGTTGGGAACTCTACATGTAACACAGAAATACAAACTTAGTGCTGGTTTCAGTCATACCCTATTCATTACACACCTTCTAAAGCTCTTGAAGTATGTTAGGTTAAGTGGTACGCCTTTGAGAACTATTTGTAACTACGAAGTTATAAGCAGTTTTTAAAACCAGATATGAGAACCCAAGCAGGCTTTCTATGTTCTCACGATAAACCCCTTTGCCTGATTTCACTGATACGGGGCACTATGTGTGGGCCACCGTCAGCACAATCTGCCTTCGCCAACGATGGCAACTCCTCAATGGCTCCACACGGAACATCTAGAAGCCCACAGAGAGAGAAATTCCTTTAGCTCACGCTAGAATGAAAAGTCCACACAGGATCACACTGTGGAGTTTTCCCTTCACCTCAGGTTTGGTGACCGTTCTGCACTTTTACTGATCATGTGAGATTCAGATATTTGACATTTTTAAGATTTTGGTATTAGGTTTATTGTGAATTTTTTGTGTTCAATTTGATTTTTTTTTTTTTTTTGTACCAGGGACTGAACTAGGGACCTTGAGCTTGCGAGGCAGGTGGCAGAACCACAGCTAAATCCCCAGCCCTCATTTTTATTTTTTTAAAAAACATTTCATAGCCGGGGATTTAGCTCAGTGGTTCTGCCACCTGCCTCACAAGCACAAGGTCCCAAGTTCAATCCCCAGTGCCAAAATCAAACAAATAAACAAAAAACACATTTCATGAAAATATTTTTTTGGATGACCAAGTCTTTGGCACCCCTTACGCTGTGCTCACAGGTGAATGCCTCTCCTAGCTCACAGAGACCTGGCTCTGGCAAGATGGAAATAGCTCATTCTTGTCACCCTCTTTTTCCAGTCTTCTCACCCACACCCATGAACAGCTCAGAGTCGCAGACTTCAGAGGAAAAGGATACGTGGCTGAGGTCCTGTCGAGGGGAAGACACTGGCCTGTCTTACCTCTCGGTGCCAGATAGGGTTTGTGGTGTTGCTGATGATAGTTGACCTCCTCTCCTGCCCGTGGTGGGCACAGGTGGGGAAACTGCTCTTCTTCCCCGGCTGAATGGACATCTTAAGATAAGGGTCGGGATTGAAGAACATGCCTTTCTTTAGCCCAACTGCCCTAAGATCTTTCAGGAAAGAGAGAAGGAGGGAGGGACAAAGAAGGAGAAAGAAGAGGAGGAGGGAGGGAAAGAAACAGGAAGGATACATATACCATAATTAGAACGAGCAGTACAAAGACAATTTGTTCTTCAGTCATCACACAGGAAACTGAACAAACTATTCAGTAAGATAGCAGCAAGCTACTCACACCATGACTGCTTAGATAAGCGAGGACCAGTAGGTTGTAGATGCCACTCCAGCAGGAGTTTCCTAACAAGCTGCACAAGGAAGGCACGCCTCCACCTCGCACCCCTCGGCCGACCTCTCCTGGGAGTCCTTTGAGGACACAGGTCCGTACATCCTCACCATCTTTTTCACACTGAGATGTAGTTTGGCACACAGTTTCATACAATGCCTTGAGAGAAATCCTTAGCAAGTGCTTAACTCAAAAACATGCTCTTCCATGAAATAGAATGAGTCTTGTCCATATATATAGAAATGAGTTTGAACTAAGTTTAACTGGATGTGAAACTTCCGAGCACACATTCGTTTGTACCACATTTAAATGGCAAATATATTCCAGATGTGTAATGAATACCGAGCAGAAAAAGCAGCCCCAAAATGCTCCTAAAATATGAATCCTACCTGTTACTTTAAATATGTCTGCAGTTCCCTTTCCATAGCCTATACAGTTACTTAAATATTTGCTAGATAGCCTATCACTCTCCTTTGATTCACAAATTGTTGTTTCACACTACCTGGGCTGCTAAAAGTCTTACCTGGTGTCCATTTAGTGAGGAGACTGATATTTTTAAAAAATAATCCAGCTAAAAGATACAGAAGTCCCAGGGGCTAAGCTGGCTCTATTGGGTCCCCAAGGCCTTTCTGAGACTGTCAGCTTGATTACTACAGGTCTGGGAGCTAATTCATCTTGAGAACTTGTGGAAGAAGAGACGGGATAACTTCATGTGGTTAGGACCAGTGTAGGGGCTCTGCGGTTCAGAAGAAATTCTGCACACGGAAGCCTCTGGATTGCCCAGGTCAGCCTGGGAGCAGACCCTGTGTCTGAGCCTAAGTTACAAGTGCTCACCAGAGCCTTTCTCCACATAGAAGATCTTTCTTAGAAGGCCTGGCCTTCAGTCCCTCACAAAGCCTGCTCTTGAGAGCAGGCTCCCTGGAGGAGAATCTCCAGTGGCCCACAAGGACTTGCAGCCTAGACGGGACTGTCCAGTGACACCAGGGAGCAGAGGGACAATTTCACATGTCAGCAAATGCTGAAATACTTAACCGGGAAAACCTCCCACTAACAGTATGGCATGAAACATAGTAAGATCTTTGATCTGGAAATTACCAGGAGAAGGGAAAGACGAGTAAGGAACTAGACAGGCATTCATCAAAAACCACTGAAATCTCATTATCCTTACAACCCCATTCCCAGCACTTCAGAAATAAGAGTCCTTATTAAATGCAGCACTTGCATTTTACTGTCAAGTTAATGATACCACATGTTTTCACTTGGGTTTATTTAGCATAAAGTAACTCTGAGAGGAAAACATAATTTATACATTTATTTTCTTGCCTTTCTTGCATATGCTTACTTTAGACTCAGGAGAAAATGATATTTTTTCGATATTAAATCTACTTTCAACCAAGGGCTCTCTTTGCAGTTAGGGACAAATAGAATGGGCAGATATGGCTGCTACGAAGTCTGACAGAGCTAAGTCATTCACAAAAAACACTGCCTTGAACAAAAAGTTTTTCGTGTTGGAAGATGTCATCATCTTTAGATGTTGGATAACCCCGATCCAAAACCCTTTCACAATGAGGGATAGACACTTGATTAGTAAATACAATGAGCTACCAATTATTTTTAATCTGATGATTCAGTGCCTTTATCCATTTCATTTCTACTGTTGCTTCTCTCTTTTCTGTGTATTACTGTGCATAAATATCCACCCCACGGAATAGGCCTAAGAAGGACTCAAAAATTACAGAGGTATGAAATGTTACATATCCTGATGCAGCCTTATTTGGAGGAGGTTTACAGTATTAATCAAAACAATTTTATTTTAGCTGTAGACTTCAATGATTTGTGTCCTTACCTACCCTTAGACAATCAAGTGTAGAGTATTTGTAGGCAAACATTACAAAGTGCTTCAGTGCTCTCAGATAAATACTATCACCCCAGTCGAATTAATATTTTAGAACTAATATTGCAGAGTTGCTTTCCTCTCCCATATTTATAACTATTTCCGAGAATCTTTACAAGTCTGACTATGTGGTAGGGAATAAAATAGATGTTACAGCCATCCTATGACTAGAAGTGGAATGCAGGGAGAAGTGTTTAAAGAAGCGTTTGGTTGTGCCCCAAATTTATTTCCTACTTTTAGGAAAATGCCTCCGGTTTTTACCTTCCACATGGCCATTCCCCCATGCTGAGATACCAGCATCCCCTCTGAAGACAAAATGACTATGTAAGTGTCATGTTTAGAGTGATACAGATCAATGAAAACATAGGGCTATCATTCTGAACTAAGAAATCCAAGGAATATATGAAAATATTATATTATATACCATATATGTAAGTTTACCTTGTTGTTTAAAAAAAAAATGCATGCTGTGGTCAGGCTCAAACTTCCTGAACATGGGAGGGGGGTGGGGCTCATTGTTCCCTGCTCTGGCCAGGGATTTCAGTACCTGCAGCCCTCAGGACTACATGGGTTCAAAGCAACCAAAATGCCTTCAGGAAGCACAGGGCAGGGAAGTGCTATCACAGGCAGCAGTACTTTTCAATGCCCTTTGTATAAGCCTGGGTTAGTTTAAAATCCTAAGGGTTCCAGGCAAGACCCAGTTATTGGCCAAATCTGCACCCTAAGCCACCGGTTTTCACCTCGGGAACGCACCACAGAGCCACAGCCAAAGGGGCATTTGATTAAGCAGCCTCGCTGGAGGGGAGGAGGACCAGGCAGGATGGACACTGACCCTGGGAAGGCCAAGGGCCAGTGGTGTGGACACTCATGGCACGTGACAGCGGGGCCTTGAGGAAATGTCTGTTCTCAAGACCTCACTTCTGAGAGTGTCCATTTCCATCCACAACATTTTGTTTGCAATCAAGAAAAGTGGATCTGATTTAAATTTCAGAACCACTGCATCTACAGAAAAATGAAAACAAACATCTTCCAGTGACAGACATCTGCCAGGCTTCACTCTGTGAACACTATAGGTTGTGTGTTTCAACACTGCAACTCAGATACTGACTCCCTGAGAGTGTTCTTGACTTTATGACAGACTGTTCATTTCTTTAAAACCATAGTTTTCAATGGCCTGTGTGTGAAGTACATTGAACATTCTTTACACTGCAACCAGGACACACATACATAGGCATGTGTACATTTTGTTAGCATGCACTGAGGTTGTTACGGAAAAAAATTCCCTTTGGTGGTGAAATGTGATATTCAATTCTGTAATAAAAAATTGTTAGTTTCAAGTCTTACCCAACTCAACCTGAAATGCAGTGCTTCACCTGGATGATAAGCATGCATGCAAAAAACAAACAAAAAAACCCTGTCTTATCCACTTTCTGATTTTCACACGCACATCCTTACAAGAAAAGAGAAGTATACCTTGACTTTTTCCTCCTAGTCTTCAAATTTTTCCTCCCTCTAGCTGAAGAAAGCACAAGTTATTTGAAATAATCAAAGCTCCTTGGTGAAATCAGCACATGCTATGTGACAGCTTTAGCAGTTACACGTAGCTATATGGTCTTTTATCACCAGAAAACTTGGTAGAAATAATGTCTGGATTTATATTAATAATCTAATTTTTTCACAGTAAGAGATATACTTGAATTTTCAGAAGTAAGACTAAAAACCCCAAAAGAAACTGTTCATGTCTCCTATGACAGTGTGTAGGAAGGAATGGCTGTCAGACCAGGGGACATGAACCCAGGGCATGCACATGTGCCACAGCAGGCTGTTTTTGTCACTGAAAGCTCTAAGAGGTTCACCATTACTGGACTATCCCTGGCTGCAAAATCACACACTCTCAAGCTGGGTGTTACATGCAAAGGCATTCTTACCTGACAGTGTGAAGCTGACCAGCTTCCGGGAATGCAGGTTTCCTGACACGCCATCTTCCATGCCTTCTGCCCCCATCTGAAGAGGAAAGACATGGACCTGACGTTTCGAGTGGGTACTACCTACCTGATCTTCCAGGGAATAGTGGGTACACCAATGCAGCAATGCTTTTATCAAAGTGCATTGAGCATATGCCTCTACATTTCTAAATCTTGGAACAGAGACACAAATGTGCATTCTCAAAGGCAAGAGTAGGATCATACTTAAATCTAATCCTTACCCCAAATTTAAAAATAATGAGCTTTGAAATCCCTTGTGAATATCCACCAGGCTATTACATATGTCATTTTCCCTTAATAAGAATATAGTTGATATGTAAGAAATACACTGATATTATTAGAGCTATTTTAAGCATTCCTTTCAATTAAAAAGCAAACATATTGCTTCAGATTAGGAAAACCTAGAATAAATGGTAGGTTTATATCAGAGTCACCCATACGTACAGAATGACTGTCTCTCAGCAAATACTTGAGTGTCCATGTGGGTGTCCTACCTGCCTTCTAGAGTTCTACTGAGCTGTAGGTACACAGAACACACTATTACAATGGGCAATAATAGGAATGTGCAGTGCTATTGTGCTGATAACCTCTTCCTAAAAGCTTCTGAGTAAATTATATCTCACATGAAACCAGTAATGTATAGACTGCATAGCAAATTTAGACCTTTCTCTCAATGTACATACAACGAGTGCAAGACTTATGGCACGCTAGGAAAAAAGACCTCCATGACCCTCTGAAAAAGAAGTCTGTAATATTGGAAAAGACAAAACAGAAGGCAGAATATATTCTAAACAGTTGGAAAATGGAAAGTACACTTTAATTCTGAAGTTTGGATTAAACCCTCGACAAACATTCTTTTCTTGACCAAACTTAACCAAGTACCTCTGAGCCTTCTGCTCAACTGGGACTGAACTTGGCCTTCCACCTCCACCTCTGTAGAGCTGAGTTTCAGCAAAACCCCTGCTGTGCATTTGGAGAGAATGTCCACCCTCAATACTCAGACTCTGGTATCAGGCAGATCCCTCATCCTCCACCCCCAGGTGGCGTCTGACTGCTCTGACTGCCTGCAGCAAGAATTCTCTCCGGCCAGTATGGCAAGAATCACCCCCACCCACCCCCGCCCCAACCTCCCTCCTGACCTTTCCACTCCTGGCCCACCTCCCCAGGTTGGCTCCTTAGCTACAAACCCCTTTCCACTGTTGTGTTTGGAATGGAGCCAATTCTACTTGGAGGTCTCCTGTCTCTTACTGCCCTAGTTCCTCGCTAAAATCTGCTTTTATCTTAACTACTGTCCAGTGCTGACAGCTCTTCCACCTTATCTTGGCTGCATATCCCCACACGCCAGTAAAAATAATGTCCCACCAGGAGAAGAAAAGCATCACTCATCCATGAGAAGCTGAGAAATTATAAACGAAATTCTAAATATAGTTCAAGTTTTAAAATAGAAATTTCTCCTGCCTTCACTAATTCCCAAACCTTAGTCAAAACTACTGGGTGGCAGTTAATTGCTTCTTGATCTGTGAACTATCAGGGTGTTATCCCCTCGACGACCACAGATTTGCAGCTCAACAAATACCCCAGGTTTACTCTACTGTTCTGTGCTCCTCTGGCCCCTCATTCCCAGATTAATGGGGTGCAGGGGGCAGCAGCAACCAGCCAGCCAGAAAACAAGTCACTGTGATGACCTCCTCCTACATCCTCTCCTCCACCACCCTCAGACTGCGGCCAGGACTGCAGGCCACAACCAAAACAGACTCACAGCCACCTGCTCCTCTGCACCCAGGCACAGGCAGACACGCAGGATCCAGACCTCACCTCACATGGAGCACACTGCCCAGAAGAAGGTCACTCCAAGCACTCGGCACTGTGCCCTCTCTGGACACTCAAGCTATGTGACTCACTCAAGACTGAAAAGATTCATGGCCCCTCTTCATTTAAAACCCATCTAAAATAGCCCAAGAAATTATGAGAAACAAAAGAAAATGTCCTCTAATTCTTACTTTTAAAATGTTATTCATTGCTAATACTAAACAATTCTTGAAGAATTCACATAAAAGCAGTGTCCTACACAACCTCTCTGCCAAAATGTTCATCTCAATACTCAAAGAATTCTATCACTTATTAGAATAAAGGCAAGAAAGACCACGCATTGCTACTAAATACAGGGGCACTAGCAGTAATAAACACACCTGCACTCGGTGCTCAGAGAGGGGTTTTTAAATGAACGTCCCCCATACACTCATTCCAGGAAACCGAGAGGCAGTACTGTCAACCAAGCACAAAACAATGCAAGGAGGTGCAGGACAGTGGCCAGAATCTGGCCCTGCAGCCGAAGGACTTCCTGTTCCAAGGGTCTGAGACGAGTATCACTGTGTGCTCTGATGAATGACAATGACGTCAAAGCACAAATGACAAAGAAGATACAATTATTCTTTAATCCTTGATCATCGCAAGAGGATATGTAAGAAAGGGGAGCATGTGATTAGCAGGGCAGCTCATTTCCTTCCGTATAGTTTCTCAGCTGCTTCCTCCTGGTCTACTCCTGGTGTCCGGTCGTGGTCTGATCATAAAGTGAGCTTGGTGAACATGAATGTTGCTAATCAGTCACGATAACTAACAGCATGTCCCGTACCGAGGGGACCATCATGCTGCTGCACGAGCGCAGGTTTCCAAGTGGGACGACCTTTCCATTCTGGATACAGACCCAAGTGTCCCATTGGTCAGGAATCTATTGACCACCAACGCGTTCATCTGCCTTTGAACCACAATATTCTTTTCTGATTGCCAGGGCTGGATCTCTGAAGCTGTCAAGGGCCATAAAATCTGTCCGAAGCAAATTAGTTGTTTGTAAACTATGCCCAGGCTTTAGCAGAGTGATCTTAAAACAAAATCCATGGGATGAAATCAATGCTCAGTGGGCTATAAGCCCCCACTGCCTTCACTGATAAGTGAATATCAAAACTGCTCAAATCTAAAAAGTTCTGAATCCAGAAAAAGCTAATCAGCATTAGTTATTGTCTAATTTCACACACCATGAGTCTTCACCTATTTTATTATAAACACCTTCACTCTTCTACTTGTCTAACCTTTTCTTTTTAGAATATTAACTGGAGCAAAGATGTTCCAGTGCTTATTCTGTGAAATGGCAGATTTTATAGTCAACAACGGTTATTCTCTCTGAGAGACCATCAAAGTCTTAAACAGCGATGCATGCTGTGCTCTTACATTCTATACTCGGCTGACTGCAATGGGGACTCAAATCTAACTTTCCTCCATTGACCCCCAGGCTTCCCCTCGTACACTCCTTCGGGGAAGTCTTCTGGGACTTTCCTGATCAGGACAACTCCTACGAGTACATGTGTCACAGCTCCATTACTCTCCCCTCGGCTATCTCACAAAGAAGTACAATAACCTGCTTGATGTTCCTCTCCCTAACCAGGCCAATGACTGCCAGGGCTGTGCTGCTCTTACCATTTTGTCCCCAGTGGTGGGCACAATGAACCCCATGAATATTTGAATAAATGACTATCAGGGAAAGACTGCTTGATTCTGAGCCACAGACACAATCAAAGACAGCACAGGGCAGGTCTGGACAATTTCAATTCCTTTCTGAATTTCAAGAAATCAACTTGGCCACTTGCCTAATTCCAAAAGTCCAACCATCTATAAGAATGAGTCCACACACACAGTTCTGAAGATTCTACATTAGGGGAGTGAACATTTTTCTATACTTTCATGACCTCATTTTCTTACTGAATAATAAAAACAACAAAGATTTACATACCTTGGGCTCTATGAATCTCCTCAAATCACCTGAATCCAGCCACCCATGTACAATGGAGCCCTACACTGTGAAAATGCTAGATTTGTAAAGTTAGTTGATTGGGTGAAAACAAGTCACAAAATTGTGAAAAATAATCCTTGGGCAAGTGCTGTGCTGGACACAGACGTGCTTCTTTCAAAAGTCCCACACAACCAGCTCTCTCTGGAGGTAAAGGAGATATGTTTCTTTGGTCAAGGGCCTGATGGAGAAGCTGGTTTCCCTAGAGTGACCAGGTTTTGCCAAAAACTCCGTGCAGTATCTTTAGGCACAGACGTTAGCCCAGCACGGAGCGGGACCCAGCCCTAGGGCCCCTGAGGACCCAGGGCTGTGTTTATGGCTCACATCTCACACTCTCTTGGGCAAAGCTGTCTGGGTTTTCTGGGAGACAGAATCACCCACGATTTCAATGGTTGCCTTTTCTCTCCTACTTCCTGAATTTGTGTAAATTAAATTTGCCTAAAACACAACACGGCTCTTTCCTACCGCCTGGTCAGTCACCCAGACCATGTTGAGGACCTGCGCGACGGGTTGGTCCCTACAGTGCTGCCGAGTGGGGCCCAGAGAGGTGGGCAGGCAGGGGCCGCTCCTGTCCAGGGCTGTTTCCTGCTGACCCGCGTCACAGCCCCAGGCTGCCAGCCACATCGTTCTCCCTTTCCTAACGCAGTGCCACGCTGCCGTGCGGCTCCTCTCTTCTGTCCTCGGATCCCTGTCAGGGCTCCACAGGTGAAAACAGTCCTCGCAGCAGCCCGTGTGGTCCCCAGGGAAGCACTCACCATCACAGCTGGGTTCTTCACTGTGATGCAGGGCGTGGTGGCCCGCAGGGCTCCGCTGATGCCATGGTAGTATTTAAAGCAGATTTTTATCTCTGCTGCAAAACAATGGGAGAAAACAAGAAACACTGAGACAAGCCCCGCAGGAATCCGCTGCAGAAATCCCTCATATTTTGTGAATGGTCCTTCTTTTCCAATCACAGGCACTAAGTTATACCAAGTCCTGCTTGATCTTACATACTTTTCTGAAATTTCCAAAGAACATCTTGGACATACCTGAAAAACAATGCGCAAAAGCAGTACCCTGAAACACAGCATAGGACAAGTGAGACCGGCGATGTTTGTCAAGGCAGACGGCGCTGCATCTCATGCTCGTGCTGCCACTTAACCCTCCTCCCCTCAGCCTTCAGAGGCAGAAACCCCTGGCCCCACATTACAGCTGAGGTGTGGGTCAACAGAGGTCAAACAAACAAGGAATGAGAGCTGGGACTCAAACCCATTCCATCCAATCCCAAAGCCTTTGCTCTTGACATTTACATTGTAGACAGACGTCAGATGTCAATGAAACAGAAAAAGTAGTCTAACAAAGTATGGAAGCATAACATTGCCTTAATGGACTACTTTCATTTAAAAATATTATATTACTGTCATTTTCCATGTGATTTCAATGTAGCCACTAGACAGGGAACCACTGATATATATATATATATATATATATATATATATATATATATATATATATATGGATGTATCTCACAGCATGTGAAAATCCATACATCTTAGAAACTTGTTCTGTGCATTTGAGCTTGACAAAAAGAAATGTAAGTACCAATTACGGTTTTGAGAAAGTAGCTATAAAGAACATGAAGCAAAAACGTGCTTAATACAAAACATACAGTGCCCGCCTTTCTCTACATGGCGAGTGCCCAAGTCGCTGGCCTTGGTCTACCAGGGCAGCCATGCCAACCCAGTGGGAGATTCCTGGGCTCACCCAAGTCACCAGATCATAAAATGGGGCTGTCCCGGGAGTTTCCTGGAGCTCCACCGTCACTGCCTTTCCTGACTGCAGATGGCCTCCACTTGGTTTATTTTTAAAGCAAGATATACTTTAAACCATCCTTCTCTAGGAATCTGCATCATCATACTCTTCTCATCAATAATCACTGAGGAAACTTGAAGAACATATCCGTCCTGGGGTAAAACATGGAGTCCTTCTACGATGTACATGGATCACTGCAATCATTCACAATCAGCTCATCCACCAAGAGGTGTGCTGGGCACCCACCCCGATACACAACCAGCGCAGTGCCAGGCAGCTCAGGAGTCCAGGGAAGGCTTCCCGGGGGTCGGGCAGGTGTTTTACAGCACAGCTGCTCAGGAATGACGAAGGACAGGAAATACCAGACAGCGGCAGGGGGAAGAGCCCAGAGCCCAGGAGGAGTGAGTACACGGTGGAGCCAGGAGAGCATCGGGGAGCGAAGGGTCTGATGGACAGGAACGGGGGAGGGCGGCAGGAAGGGCAGAGACGCCGGCGTCACCACTGCCTGGCCTCCTGAGGACGCTTCTTCACGCGGTTTTCCTGAACGCCAACGCCAACTCTGGTCACTGAGGGAACAGCAGCTGCTGTACGGATCCCAGCAAGCCTTGCGCCCCAACCCACAGTGCGGAGCCCGCAAGAGCAGACCTAAGTCACACGCACCGGGCGTCAAAGCAGAAGAAAGCGCAGTGATGCGCGTGATGTGCTGACTGAACTCTGGGTGCGAGCTCCTTGGTGTTGCTCTCCACAAGGCAGAGCCGGCATCTATGCATCTGCCTGCAGCAGCACTGCATGAATCACATCTGTGCTCAGCGAGTGAGCAGGGCGCTTTTCAATACAGAGAAGTGCATTTTATATCATCCTCTCCTGACTCCCTCTCGGGCCAGAGGAGGCCATCTGCTGGTTTCTAAGGTCTCAGCAGCCAGGTAACAGAACACAAGATGGAGAAATCCCAGTGTAACTCCTGAGAAGACGGTGCTGACCAGGCCAGCTCTGCCAGCTAACCCACTCCACCCCGAGACAAATACGAATCCATGCAACAATAAGACAGACGGACTTTCGAATTTGCAAAAACAGATTATGTGGGCACCATCGCCAACGCCGCAGAGCTGTGGCTGCAGAGGTGCAAAGCCCAGGGATTTATATGACCTCCTGTGACAAAGCCACACGCAGGCCTCTGGCCACCAGAGAGGAGGAGGGGACACTCGTACCTGGATGGAAAGCTGGTGTCCTGGACACCACTGAAGACTTCTGAAGACACAGGGATGTTCCTCGCCAAGAGGGATGCTTCATCTTCACACATCCGGGTTCAGGAAGTCACCGGGTCTGTTTACCCAGACCTGGAAACAACTCTCCCTCTGAGGGGGCAGAGAGCCGAACGCCCTGGCTATGGGACGAGGGACTCAAGAGGGTGGAAGGGAAGCAGTGCCAGGCGTCCCCTGAGTGCAACCCCTGTGTCACAGAAACATATGTAAGGACACGCAGGAAGGGCAGTTCCGGGTGTGCATCCAACCGATGGAGAGGCGTCTGCGGGCTCTGCTCACAAGCAGGTCCACAGAGGACAGGGAGGGAGGGGAATGATGACTGCAGCAACTCAGGGTCTCCTCACAGCCTGCTGTGGCCACCAGCTACAGGGACACAGACAGACCACCCAGGCTGCAGACACGAGGAGTTCCTGCAAGAGCACACTCATGGAAAGCTCATTGCCTCTGAGGCCAGCAGGCCGAGGGGAGGGGCTCTGGATGGACCCAGGAGGCATGGGGTCAGCAGGGCCAGGGCCAGGGGACAGGAGAAGACGGTGGCCCACATGACATTGTCCCCTCTCAGGTCCCCTATGAATGTGGAAAAACAGTATAGCCTTTGCAATAATCTTTCAGGCATTTTGCTTATAGGGCTATTAAAATAAAGATTTGTACCCTCTATTTAAATGCTTACGAGAAGAGAAGCCTCTTTGTATTCCAATTTTGCTCTTTATTAATACTCTGGGTTTCTCATATAAGAGAACCATGTGACATGTATGCTTGTGTGTCTGATTTACTTCACTTAACATTATGGTCTCAAGGTGCATCCTGTGAATGACTGGAGCTTGTCCTTCTTTACAGCAGAGTGGTACTCATTGTGTGTAAGAACCACACTTTATCTGTTCATCTGCTGATGGACATACAGGCTGCTTCCAAGATTTGGCTATTATGAACTGTGCTGCTATAAACGTGGGTGTGCATGGATCACTGTAATATGATGTTTTTACCTCTTTGGGGAAAATATCTAGAAGGGGAAGAGCTGGGTCAAATGCGATTTCTAGTTTTAGTGTCTTGAGGGATCTCCACATTGATTTCCATAGTGGCTGTACTACTTTACATTCCCACCAAGAATGTAAATGAGTTCTTTTTTCCCTGCAACCTCACCAGGATTTGTTATTATTTTATTTCTTGATGATGGTCTTTCCTTCTGGAGTGAGATGGAATCTCAGTGTAGTTTTAATTTGCGTTTCTCAAATGCCCAGAGATGTTGAACGCTTTTTCATGTATTTATTGACCATTTGTACTTCTTTTTCTGAATAGTATCCATTCATTTCAGTTGCCTGTTCCTTTGACTGGGTCTTTTATTTTGGGAGGTCCAACTTCTATGAGTTTTTTATATATTCTAGATATTACTCCTCTGCCTGAGGACCGGTAAAAATTGTGAACTTATTAATGTTCACAAACACAAATGAAGATGCCCTTGCCTGGGCAACACATGGCACTGGCAGGTCCAATACCTAGGGGCAGCTGGTGGGAGGGGCCTTGGTCACAATCCTGCTCCTAAGGGGTTCCAAACACCGTACTTAAAGTAAGCATCCTAGTACCTAGTACCACCTTTTAAAACCAAGAACATATTATTTGGTTTATATATGGATAAATATTCCTCAAGAGATAATAAGAAACTGGTAGCTGGTTACACCAGAGAGGGGAGACTAGTGACTGGCCCCAAGTTGGGAAGACATTTACTTCACTTTTTCTATCTTTCTAACATTATATTCTTCTCACAAATTACCTGTTCAAAAATTATTATTATTATTTTTTTTTTTGGTACCAGGGATTGAACTTGAGTCCTTGCGCTTGCACAGCAGGTGGCAAAACCACTGAGCTAAATCCCCAGCCCTCAAAAATTATTTTTAAAAAGCAATCTCAACTCATCTACATTAACCATAGCATTTTATATGCAATTATGTCTCAAGCCTTGTCTGGAAAAAGGCTCCACGGCCTCTCCAAGCAATAGATGGTTCTGACCCAAAGACTGGGGTCTCATCTACCACCTGGAACAGCTGCAAGGCCCACCGAGGCAGCAGGTGTTGGCCTATTCTTATTTAAGAAGTGTGGATTTTCTCCAGGTTTCTAGAAGTAAAATATAAAGTTGGACCGGAGACATGAGTGGAACATAAACACCTTTCTTCATTTAGCACTCCTATGTCACTAAAATAATCTTAAAAAATGAAATTAACCGCAATTTATTTAAGACACGATTTTAATGGTTGCCTTGTGTGCTTTCCATAAAAGATCACAGTTTTAAAGATCACAGTGCCTATTTTTAGCCCCTTTTTCTTCAGGGTTCACCACTTGAGAAGGGAGTAAACACGTTTTAATCCTCATTCTTTTAAGATGTGCCCACATTCCTAGCAGCAAGCCAATGGTCATATATGTACTACTGCAAGTTGCCTTCTCTTTAATGAGGGCTGAGGAGCCTGAAATGCCAGCCCTTCCTCAGCTACAGTGCAGAGAGACAATACCTCCGGGTCAGGACCAGAGACCCAACAGAACCCCTAGTAAAGTGCACGGATGAAGGCGAGGAGCACCCGCTCTCCACCCAAAGGGCAGGGTGGCCCTTCCATCAGGGAAGGGACCTGAGAATGGTGGCGTCTGACAGCAAAAGTACGAGGCCAGGCCACCTCCTCTTTCCCAGACCAGAGCCATCCTGTATCGCTGCTCAGGAGGCTCCAACCTGAGCACCACAACTAAGAGATGAGACTGGTATGTGCCACTCACTGGCTCCTCATGCTACCTCTAATTCCCAGGCTGAGACAGGAAAAGACAGACAACACCAGGAATTGCTACAGATGCCAATGACTTGCTATTATGCATAACAATCAGAAAGCAACCCAGTGTCCAGCACACAGGAGGAAGTTCCCTTCTCTGGGGCCCCCACTGGCCCCGACATAGGGAGGGCCTACAGCAGTGGTGGCACAAATGGACAGGGAGAAAGTGGGCAACAGGAGAGAGGGGAGGAAAGACAAAAAGTCAGTAGGAATGAGCAAACCAGTGGCCATAGTTTACAAGAGACGACAGAGAACAAAACAGGCACATTGGCGAGCCAAATCTATTTGACACTCCACAGCTTCAGGATGCGCACATAGGACAGTGTGTGCCCACATAGGCTCAGCTCACGCTAGGATAGCTGAGCCCAGTGACGAGAAAGTGCAGTTGAAGCTGACGCCTGGGAAGGTCACTGCTGCAAATCAAGCCTCTCTCCTTTGAATCCAGTCAGGGCAGCCCTGTGAAGTGTAGGGCTGGGGGTTTACCCAGCCCATCCAGAGCTGCCTGATATTTGGGGAGCTTGGGGGGAGTGTGCAAACCCACGGATGCCTGGGAACTTGGACAAACCAACTTTCAGAGAATTTTACTGTTTGGACTTTTGATGAGCTAAAGACAAATACATTTTCTTTCCTGAAGATGAAACCCCAAAATTTAAAATACCATAGTGTCAAGGCCAGAGGTTGCCAACACTTAGGACTTCAAAGCTGTCTAACCCTCTCCACTGTTTAGAAGCTCCCTGCCCCTGACCTGAGAGCCAAGCAGCACCCTTCATGCTGTGACATCCCCTAGACAGTTCCAACCAGACATCAGCTCCACACCCAAAGGCAGAGACCTGGTGTCTGGGCGCTGCTGGAAATACCACCTTTATTTTTTAACACTGCGGGCTAGAAATGTGCTGGGAGAAGCCTCATTCTGACGAAGGAAGCCAGGCTTATTTGAGAGCAGGAACTTTCTAAACTTCCAGTTCACTGTCCTGGGCTTTTAACTTGGACTACTTTTGTCTGTCTTTAAACAAGACATTACTAAATATTTCCATTTTTACAATCCTGCTATGCAATGCTCCCAATTTTATGTACCAAGAATTAGGTTTGAAAATGCTCAATCAGAGGAGAAAAGAAAAAGAAACAAAAGCCCTGCTCTTTTTTTTCACTCCCACTTCCTAGTTTCAGGGTCAAGCCCCTTCTGCTAGACAATGAACTGTGATGGATAGGAAACACCTGCCAAGTCTTTGCTAGATAATAAATTCGTATTTACTATATTCACTATTTAGTATGGCCCGGTCACCAGGACATGATGCGTCTTTAACACTTTTCGGGGGGGAAAGAGAATCAATCACAAAAATAGAGAGAGATTGTGTAAATGGGTTCTCCCCTCACACGATGCTCCGAGTCTAGCAGCGTGTGATGCGGCTCCTCCCCAGGTGCACCCACCCTGGTCGGCAGCCCATCCTGCCCACCGTCCCCAGCACTTCAGGACAAAGGGAAGCTGGCTTGGCCTGCCCCTCTTACAGCTGGCAATATTCCTCACCCAACGCGCCCCTTGAACCCTGGGATTCTTTCAAGGAAAGAATCACATTAAAAGTAAAACCAGCATCTCCCGTTTCATTTTCCTCATTCTCTTGTCATTTATTTTCCTTACTAGTAGGAGCACCAGCTAAGCCAGTGTTGGAAAGAAGAGTATTAAATAGGCAAGAAAAATAAATCACCCACCATCTCACCTCCCAGAAACATCCCTCCACACACATCGGCAAAACTTTCCCCACACGCTATGCCAGTCGTTGGGACGATGACACGTGCATACATACATTCTCCACATCTACCCACTCCCTAATGCCATCGCCTGTTAGAAGCATTTTTTCCCTTAAAACTACCTCCCACTTAAGGTCTACAGAGAGAATCCAGCCAGGACGCTGGAGACCGTGAAAAGGAGGATAGCTCTGGGGGCAGAGGCAGGAGCAGACCAAGGCCCAGCATGCTGAGCACCCAGGAGGGGAGGGGAAGAAACGACTGGATGCCATTAATGCCAATGCACGGTGATAGAGGTTCATGTTTTAAAGTAACTTTTGCCTCACGGAAGTTGTAGCTGCCTCAGTACAGACATGCTAGCTGTACGTTTCCACTTAATCATATATATATATATATTTTTTTTTTTTTTTTCTTTTTTTTGGTACCGAGGATCCAACTCAGGTCCTTGTGCTTGTGCAGCAGGCGGTGAAACCACTGAGCTAAATCCCCGGCCCCTTCCACTTAATCAATCTGTACTTTCTATTTTAAGGTTTAACAACTATTAACCTTCGTCACTGGTATTCATCCTGTCTTACGCTAAACTCCTTGCATCTAGAAACCTTCATTCTTCCACAGAGCTCAACATGTTTTCCTACATTACAGAAAAATAAATTTTGTAAACTCAGATGATACCCCCGACCAGCTAGGAAATCATTTTTCATTCATCTTCTTTCTACTGCATAAAAATACAGAGAGTATTTGATATGTTCTCAATGGCAAATATAAAGGCCTCCCCCACTTCATTCAGAATCAAAGAGATTTCTGCTAACTATGCACTCTACAAGAATGCATATTCCTGCAGCTGGCAAAAAGAATCACGGAGCACTGTGTAGGCAAATAAAATCTTTGCACTGACCAAAGTCTTGACTTGCTCTTTCTGCTTCCTAAAATTAATATAATTAAATATTAATTACAAATATCAATTATAAATTAATATAATTAAATATTAATTACAAGTATATCCATAATTTGTAAAGTATTACAATAGCCATACATAATTTATATGCCATACATTCACAAGTGTATGTAAAAATACATTATACATATATTTACGTACATATACCTTTATCATATGTACATGTATACACGTTGTTCAAAACCTGTGAGCATTCTCTAATGAGCATTTTCTAAAACAATGTCTTTTCGCTGGGGATTTAGCTCAGTGGTTCCACAGCCTGCTGCACAAGCGCAAGGACCCGAGTTCGATCCCTGGTACCAAAAAAAAAAAAGAAAGAAAGAAAGCACTGGAAAAATGATAACAAATGGAAAAAATGGAAACAAAGTCTTTGTAAATAGGGAATGGTGGAGGGGGTGAAGGGAGGGCTGGGAATGGGGAAAAAATAAGAACCAAGATGCATCATGTAAAGGTACAATTCCCAATGAGAAATGTAAATGTGTCGTATACCTAAAATGTACCAATAAAAGAATTTAAGTAAAAAAAAAGATGCCAAAGGGCTGAGACCCAAGGGAGGCAGTGATATAACTCCCAGATGGGGGAGGCCAGGGGACAAAAAATAAAATAAAATAAATAAAATAAAATAAAACAATGTCTTTTCCACTGTGGTGCTTCATGACATAAATATGTAAATAAGAACAAAGGACTTTTAAAATAACATCCAGAAAAGATCCCACAGATTGCCACACACACAATACCAAATGCTAAACATGACTTACATTCTCAGCTACTTACGTTCCATGAAGTAGGGCCCAGGCTCGATTCTCCACACAATCTGTCCTTTTTGTGTTCCAGTCACGCCCCTGTTTTTAGAATCCCAGAAGTTGGCTGGAGAATTCTCATCTGGAAAAACCAAGGGAAGCCTTTTAGCTTAATTAGAACTTGTCTTCTCCTAGCTCAAAAACTAATACAACCTCTAAAACAAATTTTTTAAGTGGAGGAGAAAATATTAGTGAACACTATTCTTAATGACTCCCTCCCAGCAGGTTACTATCCCGCATGTCTAGTGTCTACATTTGCATTTATTTGGGTGGGGTACGAGGCTGGAAGGAAGACAGCGCCTGTGGGCTTGGCCAGGGTGGCCAACGTTGCCAAAGACAATCCTGTGAAGAGCAAAGGGCACCGTGCAGAGAGCCAGCCCACTCTGGAGGGCTGGTGCCCTGCCATCTGCATCAGCACATGTGAGTTATGGAGTCTTCACCAGAACAGTCACACAGCACCGTTCCTCTTAGGAAGGGAGGGCACAGCCCTCTGGAGACAGCGCGTGTGGGGTGCAGGTGGGCAGCTCAGCCCCTCGAAGAAGGCAAGCAGGACACTGCCACCTGGAAGGCGGACAGGCGGTCGCAGAACACTGGCTCCGAAGGACATCCTGTGCTCCTGAGGCAGGCTGCGTGCTGCCGGCCTCTGCACATCTTCCTTCGCGAGAAAACCCCATTGTGTCCAGCAACTCCTCAAACCTGTGCAGCAGAGAGGCCGCGTGACCCAGCTGTGGCCAGGGAGACACAAGCGGAAGTCTGCTGGGCGTGTCCTTGAGGCAGGCGGCTCCCTTCCCGTAGGAGAGGGCAGGCTCGGCACCCTCTGCCCTTCCTCCCGCTCTCTTCTGGATGAAAGCCACATCCTCAAAGCACTCGATGACTTGGAGGCACCTGCCCAGGCTGACCCGGAATCTTCAGGTCTGCATAGCAGCTGCGGGTGAGACGAGAGTAGCTGCTTCTCCAATTCAGGGCTGCTGGGATGAGCAGACAGACGCTCATACTTCACATATTTATTTATTAGCTATTGGTGACTTCACTTTGATTCACACATCAGGGAGCGTGGATTAGGGGAAGCCATACACTTTCCTTTGAGGAGATACTGTTTCCAATAATTCACTATTCTCGACAAATACAAACACTTCTGCCATTGCAAGGCAGCCACTCTAATTACAGATATAAAGTTCCTAGAAATAAACCAGCTGAGAAAGAGGTCGGAGCATTCTGTATGAGGACCACAACTGCCCCAGGACCCTCACCCTTCTGTTGCTGGCTCGTGGAGCCCCGGCGCCATGGGCACAGCGCGCAGTGGGATGCCTGGGATCCCTCTGTCCTTTGCTTGGTCCCAGGGGGACTGACGTGAGCTGGTCCTTCAGATGAACCCCTTCCTTTAGGAAGCGTGGATCAACTCCTCTGTGTAGCTGTGGTCAATCACAGTCCAGCCTGAGGCTACTTTGACAATGGTGTTCCTCTGCTCAGATCTTTTTTTCCATGGATTTTTTTTTTGAGGACAAAATATCTTTTCCTAGATTTTATGAAATATTCTTTTTACCTTCATTCTAACACCTATATTGAATGATTCAATCTTTTTAAAATGCTCCCACCCCAGGAGAACAATGAATATAAAATGTTACACCAAAGAAAGAATTCCAAATCCTCTGCAAGTGTGATATAGAGATAATTATAAATCTATTTCTTCTTGTAAAACTGACAAATCAATGAAATATTGGTCTTTGAAACCACCTACCACCGTTCCATTTCCACAGTGTCACCTCTTTTCCCCGCTTCTCTTAACAAAGATGCCAAACCCACATTCACGATGCTGCCTAACCAGGCCCCTGCGTGGAGCCAGGCCCCTGCGTGGAGCCAGGCCCCTGCACCCTGCGGCACTCAGGTGATGAGGACGGTGCCTGCTGTCCCCTGGCTTTTCAAACTCCCTCTTCCTGTGTTCCTCCCCTCCTTGTGCCTTCTTGCCAGGGCTGAACCTGTCGCTTCCACCAGTCACCTCTCTCCCTCTCCCTACTCGACCCTCTCCCTGCAGAGCAAGGGGTCCAACCTGTGGTCTGCAGCCACGGCAGCCCTGGGCAGTTCGGAGCACGGGTCTTGAGATTATCAACGTTTAACACTGTGATGCAATTCCATAGTTTTCATGGCTTGATCAGGCAGTGGTCCAGCGAGGGCTGTGTAGGTGACGATGTGATGCTGGGTAGGGAGGGACAGGGCAGTACTGACTGCAGCCTGTGCCTGCCACGGTTGAATCAAACCCCACAGGGATCAGGTACTTGTGTGACTTGGCGAATGAAACACAGCAATTACCAGTAATACGATGGCTGACCCAAAAATACGGTGTGCATTTAAATTTTTAAAATTTATTACAATGAAAGACACATCGCCATTAGTCCTCCTCAAAATATTCCCCTCACTTCAAACACATTTATCTTATCATTTTTACCACTTTTAAAAGTTTTTCCCTTTTTTCTTTTTATTACTGTATGTTTGTAATATGCGATGAATACACTCACCTTGGGGAACTGGTGAATGCACATACTTCGTCTTAATCACTTTTGCTTCCTCTTCTCATTTGCACAAAATCTGCCTCTTTGTTTTTTATTATCTTTCATTTTGTTCTTTAAGTTATTTATGTTTTGTCTTGCCACTTTCTGAAGCAGTTCTGGAAGTCCCCTTTTGTGACTGTCTTTACAAGGTGTGATTTAAAAAATACTGTATAGGGCTGGGGATTTAGCTCAGTGGTTCCACCACATGCCTCGCAAGCGCAAGGTCCCAAGTTCCATCCCGGTACCAAAGAAAAAACATACTGTGTGGCGAACGATGCTGCCAAGCACCATCCAACAGAAAGGCAGCCCTGCGAAAACATGACACTGTGTCCCCATCCACCTTAGTCACCACATCTGGGGCAGTGAGACTTCTGGCTCCTCCCCTAAAGTCAAAATGACCATGAAAGGGAAAGGTTTCTAGTGGATTCAGGACACGGAGGCATTCAGGACAGGCAGTCAGAGACACTCATGAAGAGGACTCCGGAGCTGCTGCAGAAAGTGCTGCGCAATGGACCACTACACTTTCTGGCTAAGCGGTGCAGAGTCTCAGCCGACCTGCACATGCGTGCCTGTGAGCACACACTGACTGCTGTGAAGCATGCACGTAAGTTTCCTAGTGATTACTAAACTCTGGCTTGTTATTTCGATACATTATTTACTACATTTAAATACTTTAAAAAGGAAGTTTCACTACTTACAAACATGAACCATATTACCTATTTTATATGCAGCCCAAGACGACTCCTTTCTCTTCAGTGTGGCCCAGCCACTCACGGACAGGCAGGAGAGCGACCTGCCCTCGGCCTTCACACCCTCGGCTTCCAGGGCTCTGTCTGCTCTTTACCTTCCCTGCTCCCTTCCATCTTGTTCCTATTTCCCTTCCTACTGGAATTAAAGTGTCTGTTTCCAGTTACAGCAGCATCTACAGTAGCAGTGGATACTCTAAGTACTTGGGTAATTTCCCAGCTGGAATGAAGTGACAAAAAAAGAAATGCAGAAGATGTTTAACATATAAATGCTTTCTCTAAATCCATTTTTGGTAGTTTTCAGAAAGGTTAAAGTCCACTAACATCTCATATGTCTTCTTCACAACTAGACCTCCATACCCACAGGTTTCATATCCACAGATTCAACCAATTGCATACAGAATATATTTGGGAGAAAACTGCATCTGTTCTGAACTTGTACAGGCTTTTCCCCTTGTCATTATGCCACAAGGGATACGCTCTTTATACAGTGGCTGCATTGTATCGGGTATTCTAAGTTACACAGAGATGGTGTAAAAAAATAAGGATGTGTGTAGGTGATGTGCAAATGCTATGTCATTTTGTATAAGGGACTTGAGCACCCACAGACATAGGGAAGACTGTATTTGCTTACAAGTATAATTGGCTGCCTATTTTCTCTAAATACACACACAGAAGACTCTCCATTCCTTCTAATTTTCACGTATACCTATTTGTGAATATAGTGGAAGCATAATAATCTAGAGAACTTTTGAAAATATTTTCACCTGCCATTATTTTAGTAATCGATGATGCTTTTCCAAAGTGATTTTATTCAGTTTTTTAAAAAAAATTATTCTGGGTCACAAGTCACGCAGAATGTGCCAAATCAGCCCGTGCCCCAGCAGCAATCCACTGGATACCCCACCACCACCCTCCTCTGGCCTCTTCTCTGTACAGCTACCTGGTTCCACACTACAAAGACGCAGAGGACACCGGACCACCAGACCAGTGTACTGGGTAAGTTGGAGTCATCTTCACCTCCCATCAAAACCGGGTCT